CTCGATAGGCGTTTCGGCAATGTCCATTTCTCAAGTGTTACATGGGGTAGCCATCTCCTCTCTCAAACCCTAGTTCACGACTTCGCATAGTCTCCTCCCCAATCCCCTCCTTTCCTCGGTTTTCAGTCTGGCTCTAAACGCCGAAGAGCTCCGGAAACGCGCGTGTGCTTCGTGACTGTGAATTCCAAGGCCTCATTCTCGCAGTTCTCGTGCAGTGACGCGTTTCACTGGGCCTCTTAACTTGACTCAACCCACAGGGATCGGATCCCTAATTGGATCTCTCGTGAGTAGCAGTATGAGGCCTCGGAGTTACTGGACCAAGGCATTGGTGAGAGAGCAGCACGCGCCTTTTGAGGCGCCTCAGAAGGCATTGGTGAGAGAGAACGCGCCAAGAGTACCAAGGATGAAGCGAGGCCGAGGAGGAGATAACCACGCAGATCACCACCATTATAGCAACGGTGCTACTGCCACTTGCAGCGATGCTCAGCGTCAGCGCAGGGTTTTCAGAGCCTGTGCGTCAACTCCTGCGGCAACTACCACTGCAGCCACGTCAGCAGCAGCAGCCACTCCTGCAGCAACCAGCCCCGCAGCCACGTCAGCAGGATCCAGTGACAAGGCGAGAATGGTGGCCGAAGCAGCCGACACGACAACTGGCGCGCACCAACCGAAGGAGCCATCTTCCGTTGGAATCTTGCAGCCTATGCAAGGAGTTGCTGGTCCTTTGCACCAAAGGAGTTGTGCTGCATTCACGTCAAAGTCAAAGTGCAACGCGCCAGGACCAAGTTGGGCGGATTATGTTCGGAGCAGGGAGAAGCTCGGAATCACTGTGCTGTCTGCCGAGCCTTTGCTTCAACCCCATGCCGGAGAAAATCGCTGCATCGCAGCTCGCTATGACCACAAGAAAGCCGAAGCGCAGGAGTCAAGTTCTGAGGGGCCTCAAAGCAACCCGCTGCTTCTACTCGATTCCGGAGCAGATTTTTGTGTTGCAGCTAGCTGTGAATACAACAAAGCCGAACTGGTGGAGGGATGTGCAGGAGAGCTCATGCAGCAGCGTGCACGCGAGCTAATGCAGCTAATGGAAGGACGGCTATGCGTTGATAAGCCACCTTGTTCTCGAGTGATCATCCCTGACTTGAACCTACCTGCTTGTGAGGATCCTGGATTGCCAAGCTGCCAAATCGATGGAAGATCGCAAGGGAGAGGCTCTTCTTTGGGCATCGATCCCTCTCTTGGTACCTCTGGGGTTCTTGTACTGGTTCCTGAATCTGGAGGCGTTGACATGGACGAGTGGAACTTGAGTGGTGGTCACAGGTGCAAGCAGCAGGAGCAGGAGCAGGAGCAGCAGCAACCTCAGCAAGAACACCATCTGTGCCATAGGTGTGCCGCTGAGAGTGTGGAGTTAGAGAGAAGGAAGCTGCTGATACGAGAGATAAACTTGTACAGGGAAAGGAACTTTCGGCAAGCCTAGCAGAGCAGGTATATGCAAGAATGCTTCAGCTCTGCAGCTTGCTTCTGTAGTACGGTAATTGTATACGTTTCTTGCAGCATTGTTTTTAACAAAAAAAACTTTGTACATATTCAAATTTGTGTTGGTTTGGCCATGTTTAGATTTGTTTTGTCAGCTTGCTACATAGCCTGCTCCGCACAATGTAGGCGAGGAAAAGTCGGGCTGAGGGTGAAGGAAATGGGGGGAATGGGGCGGCTGGGATATGCGATGGAAATGCGGAGAGCTGGGCTGAGTGGGGGAGGAAAAGAAAGTGGGGGAAGTGGGCTGGGAGAGGCTAGGGGAGTGGGGGGAGTGGGGCTGAAAGGTGCAACAATTTTTGAGTTCCCAAGGTACCTATCAGTCAGGGTGTTTTAAAACTCCTGATACGCACACGGCTGTGAGGTCTCCTCACTTCAGAGCCTAGTACCGGTATGACCATTGACCAGGTATCAATATCCAGCTCGCCTCTGATCAGACTCATGCGCTTCTGTCCAGGGCATGTCTGACTTAGAGTTGGTTCAACGCGGTTCAGCATGGTGCGGCGCGATTCACGAATGTGAGTGCCTGGACATACCGTAAGCCTGATACGGTAAGAGCGACGTGGTTCATAGGAACATACACATGGTGCTGCAAGATCTTGATAGGAGGGGAGTGCCTGGACATAAGGTAAGCCTGATAAGAGCGACGTGGTTCATAGGAACATACACACAGTGCTGCAAGATCTTGATGGGAGGGGAGTGGAGGGGAGTGGAGGGGAGTGGAGGAGGGAGGAACGAGATTTGAGACGCCCCAGAACTCGATGGGAGACGGGGCAGAATGAGGGCGAGACTCACGCGACGACAGGAGGGAAAACAGGGAGTGAGGGAGATGAGGGCGAGGAGGGCGGGGAGCAAGATGAGGGAAGGGAGCAAGGAGGGAGAGTGGGACAGTAAGTACCACAGGATCTCTTTTTGAAACTTCTCAAGGATTTGCGTTTTGAGAATCCATTCCTAGGAGGCTTGCAGTGCAACGAGCCCACTTCTTTGTTGGAGGAGAGAGAAGAGGGAGAGGAGGGAGAGCAGGGAAATAGTAGGCGAGAAAGAGAATGATATGAAAGAAAATGAACAGTAGGACAGAGACGGGAAAATCGGAAATGAGCAGCACGTGAGAAGGGAACAACACGATAGAGAAGGGGCAAATAAATGAGGGGTGGGGGCCAAGGATGAGGAGATGGCTCAAAATAAGTGGTGGTGGAGAGAGAAGAGGAGGGGGGAAGAGGGGGGAGGAGGGGGGGGGAGCGCGAGGGCGGGGGATGGATGGAGAGAGGAAGAGGGCTTCCCTGCAAGTCATGAGATGATTTTTGAGGCGCCCTGCAAGTCATGAGATGATTTTTGAGGCGCCCTGCAAGTCATGAGATGATTTTTGAGGCGCCCTGCAAGTCATGAGATGATTTTTGAGGCGCCCTGCAAGTCATGAGATGATTTTTGAGGCGCCTCAAAAATCCCTGCAGACAAAGAATCTGTGTGTACATCGCAAAGCAACCAAGGGGAACAGGATCAAATTACACTCAAGTATTACACTGCTATGATGCGTCCAGGAATACACACCACGAAGTACCGATTCCAATCTCTCATACTCCTATTCACAACAGTGCGAACTGAATCGAGACCCAGGAGTCACCTAAGAATATGACGAGAATCCACTGTAACGCATTTGCAAATCACTTCTGGTAACCGTCGCCAGTGCAATCGTTCAAATGTCGCTCTTGCCCATGGAAATACCACTTGCCGGGGGTCGGCGGAGAATACTCCGCGGAAGCCCCTCCTGAGCTCCCCCCCGCCCCCGCAACCTCCCCCGAAGCCTCCGCGCTCGCGCCGCCTCCGCGGATCTGCTCCATGATCTGCGCAACTGTAAGCTCCTCTTTCTTAGTCTCGAAAACCGTGCGGCGCCGCTCGCGGTCGTGGTACTTAATGTTAAAGACGCGGTCGAGATCGCTCTGCGGAATAGACGCCTTGGCGGGCGGGTTGGTTGGCGCAAACGGGCGGTATTCCCCCAGCACGGGGACGGACTCGCGGAACTCCGCGGAAGCGGTCGGCCCCGTGTAACTCCACGGCGGGCGCACGACCTTGGCTAGCGCCTGGCGCGCGCGCGCGAGGAGCGAGGTGCCCGCGGGGGAAGCCATGGCGGAACGGATCGGCGGGGGAAAGGCGGAAGGAGGTCCGCGGGAGGGCGCGAGAGTGATCTGTGTCAGAGATGTCGAGATGGGGATTTAGCTTTGAATGCGGAGAAATAGAGGGCGAAATGGGGATGGGTTGCGAAGAGAGGATGGCGGGTTGAGAGAGGGAACAGCGCAGCGCGATTGGCGGCGGGAGTGGCGGCGGGAGTGGCGGCAGGTGTTGGGGGAACGGACGAACCTGCTGCCTGGTACTGCCTTTCTAGCTAACCCTAAATTGGTTTGCTGGATTGCTTAGCTACGGCTGTTGCACGGGAGAACCAACTCAGTGCAGAATGGTTGGACAGAACGACTGTTGTGATTTCCTTGTTATAGAACGACTGCTTTCTGCGTACAACAAGAATTTGCAATTCGAGGTGTACTTCAAGGTTTCTTCAAACCTCACATTTTGAGGCGCCTCAAAACTACACATTCACCACATTGCCGTTCCTCTCCTCAAAACTAGCTGCAGGTCCGTAAAGGTGCATTTCGAGCTTTCATCACAGTAGACATCAACTAGTTTCTGGAATCGGGACGTACTTGGATACTAGTTGCTTTCACACGAGCTAAGTTCTCACGAGCTAAGTTCTCACGAGCTAAGTTCTCACGGCGAGGCTGCCTTACCAAAGCATTTCGCTCTGCGTGAGCAATCAGGTGGTTCTCGATATTGGGGAATGCGCTACTAGGACTAGTTGATTCTCGAGGATCTGAGAAAACAACTGATTTCCGATAACCATCTGGGACTTGTCGCTGCCACTGCTGCTGCAGCAGCAGCAGCTGCTGTGATGGCGACAATGCAACAAGCCGCGTCGCGAATGTCGTTCGTTCCATCGTCGCGTTTGGACGCAGACCGATTAAGTTTCGGAGCGTCGCTAAGAGTAACCCCAGTTTCGCGAGGATTAAGGAATAGCTCCCGCATTTCTTGTTTACCGGGTGGAACCGCCACTCCGCGGGTTCCTGCTCGGCTTCCCGCGGAAATCCCCAGCCAATCAGCTTCTGCCACGCGGACACGAGCAATTTGTTCAAGAAACTCAGCTTCGCGTCATTTTCTACACCCCGGTGTACTCACTCCGCGTACTGTCACACCCGAGGGTCAGCGCAGTGTGATTCTGCGTCGCTCTCGTTATAGTGTCATTGCCGCGGCTGCTGGCGCTGGATCGACGAAGGCTGCTGCGAAGGACGAGGGAGGGGAGGAGGAGCTGAAGCAGGCCCACAAGCTCTTTGACCAGGTGAGGCCGCCGTTGACTTCCGTTGACTTTTGAGACGTCTCAAATGGCTGCTGCGAAGGACGAGGGAGGGGAGGAGGAGCTGAAGCAGGCCCACATGCTCTTTAACCAGGTGAGACCGCCGTTGACTTCCCTTGACCTTTGTTGACTGGCGTGGGATAGTTTCGTTGTGGTGTGAGTTAAGGTTTAAGGTGTTTATCAGGTGTCTTCATCGTGACTTCTGACTGTCAAACCAGATTTAAGGGTAAAACCCTGGTTTAAATCCCAAACCTTAAACCTTACAGTGCGTTTCCTCCTCTCAGGTGGCGATATTCGTGAAAACTTGCCAGCACTGGTACCGTTCTCCACCCCCCACAACCGTGGAAGGAGTAGTGGGGGTAGCACCAGGGCTGAATGTGGGCAAGCTGGGTCAACGAGAGTCAAACCCTTTGTCATTTTCCTGTCTGTCATTGTCTTCCCGTCCTTTCAGGTGCCTATCTTTGTGAAATGGGTCAATGGAGGAGCAGAGCCGTGGCCCCCACGGCCGTGGAAGGCTGGGAAAAACAGCCAGGTCCAGTTTTTTTTCGTATACCCAGTCTGTCATTGTCTTCCCGTCCTTTCAGGTGCCTATCTTTGTGAAAGCGGGGGATGGGGGGGAACATAACGGGGCAGTCTTTTACCCGCCACGGCCATGGAAGGCTGAGAAGACGCCTGGGCTGACCCCTGACTGCTCTCTTTCCCCTCTTTTCCACCTTAGCCGCCTCTGTTCAGGTGGTTATTCTCGTCAAGGCGGGATACGGGGGCAACGGCGCAGTGCTGCATCCCCCACGGCCCTGAAAGGCGGGGGAGACGCCTGGGCTGAATGAAGGGCGGCAGGCTGACCTCTGACTCCTCTCTTTCCCCTCTACCCCCCCTCTATCCCCCCTCTATCTCCTATCGCACCATCTTCCCGCCCCTGTTCAGGTGGTGATATTCGTCAAGGCGGGGGATGGGGGCAATGGTGCAGTGCTGCACCCCCCACGGCCGTGGAAGGCCGGCGAGACGCCTGGGCTGAAGGGAGGGAGGCTCAACGCGAGAGAGGCGGAGGAACTGACGAGGAAGCTTCGCAGGTGAGGGAGGGTGAGGTAGAGAGAGGAGAGGAGGGGAGGAGGAGAGGAGGAGAGGAGGAGAGGAGGAGAGGAGGAGAGGAGGAGAGGAGGAGAGGAGGAGAGGAGGAGAGGAGGAGAGGAGGAGAGGAGGAGGAGGAAAGGGGAAGAGGAGAGCATTGAGGGGAGGGCGTTGGAGAGAGTGAGGAGAGGGGGGTTGAGCCTGCTGCTGCTGCTGTCGCCGCCGCCGCCGCCGCTGCCGCCGCCGCTGCTGTTACCCCTGCAACCCCTTCCGATCCTCACACCAATACCTTTCATCACCCCATCTCAAGGAGAAATGAGCAGAATAGGCAGCTTCAACTGAGAGGCTGATGGGCTGGCGATGGTGCCCATGGGGGCCATGGGGGGGACATTGTGATTCACGCCCATCCCTCCCTCTCCACGCTGCTGCCTCTGCCGGCGCTGATGCTGCTGCTGCCCCTGCAAGCCCCTGCTATCTCCTCCCCGATTCCCTTGTCTCCACTCACTTTTGAGTCGACTCAAAAGTCAGCTGCCTCTGCCGGCGCTGATGCTGATGCTGCTGCTGCTGCTGCTGCCGCTCCTGCAACCCCCTGCTATCCCCTCCCTGATTCCTTTGTCAGTCACAGGAAAGAAGTAGAGAAGGCCAAGGAAATGAAACGAGTGGGTAGGAACGTTCAAGCGAGATGCTGACGGCCTCGCAATCGTCCCAATGTCAGCGTCCATCCCTCCCTCTCCACGCTGCTGCCTCTGCAAACCCCTTCCCTTCCCCATCCCCACCCCCATCCCCCTCCCATATGCAGGAAAGAAGCAGAGAAGGCCAAGGCGATAAAACGAGGGGGCACATTCAAGAGGGATGCGGACGGGCTGGCGGTCGTCCCAATGGGAGGGCACGGGGGTTGGGCAGTATTGTTGTGACCCATGCAGATCCCTGCCTCTCCCCGCTGCTTCCGCTGCCTCTGAAACTGAAACCCCCCACGTGCAGGAAAGAAGCAGACCCATTTAGTCCAGGAAAGAAAGCCAAGGCAATGAAGCGGGTGGGCACGTTCAAGCAGACCCCTCCCTCTCCCTTTTACCTGTGCTCTTCACCCGCCCCCCACAACCACAACCACAACCACAACCACAGGAAAGAGGCAGAGAAAGCCAAGGCAATGAAGCGGGTGGGCACTTTCAAGCGAGATGCGGACGGCCTCGCCATTGTGCCCATGGGAGGGCATGCGGGGGACGTGGTGATTCACGCCGACCCCTCTGCTCTCTCTCCACGCTGCTGCTGCTGCACCTTGCCCCCTCTCTCCCCTCTCCTCCTTCCACCTGCAGGAAAGAGGCAGAGAAGGCAAAAGCGATGAAGCGGGTGGGCACTTTCAAGCGAGACGCTGACGGCCTGGCAATCGTGCCAATGGGAGAGCATGGGGGGGACATCTTGATTCACGCGGACCCCTCGCTCTCCACACTGCTGCTGCTGTTGTTGCTGCTGAAACCTTTTTCCATCCTCGATTTTATTCCCCGCACATACAGGAAAGAGGCGGAGAAGGCCAAAGCAATGAAACGAGTGGGCACGTTCAAAAGGGACGCTGACGGCCTGGCAATCGTGCCCATGGGAGGCCATGGGGGGGACGTTGTGATTCACGCGGACCCCTCGCTCTCCACGCTGCTGCCTCTGCACCGCAAGAAGCGGCACGTGGCGAAGAGCGGCGGGCACGTGGATGCCAAGGGAGGCCTGGCGAGGAGAGTGCCGGATGGCTTGCAAGGCCCTGTGCTGCGGATAGCTGTTCCCGTGGGTATGTCTTTCCTGTTATATGCACGCCCCCTCTTCTCTCTTTCTCCTTCTCCCTCCCTCTCCACGCTGCGGCCGCTACACTGCAAGAAGCGGCACGTGGCGAGGAACGGCGGGCACGTGGATACTAAGGGAGGGCTTGCTAGGAGAGTCCCGGACGGATCACAGGGGCCTGTGCTGCGGATAGCTGTTCCCGTGGGTAAGTCACTGGCTACTGCTGCTGCTGCCTCTGCACCGCAAGAAGCGGCGCGTGGCGAGGAGCGGAGGGCACGTGGACGCCAAGGGGGGGCTGGGTAGACGCGTGCCGGATGGCTTGCAAGGCCCTGTGCTGCGAATAGGCGTGCCTGTGGGAAAGAAGCATGCACTAGCAGACACCGTTGTGTCTTCATGTGGAGTGGAGGCCACGTGGTCTCAAAGGGAGGGCTGGCCAGACGGATTGCAGGGATGGGTTCCAGGGATAGCTGTTCCTGTGGGTAAGAAACATGCACTAGCAGACACCGTTGTGTCTTCATGTGGAGTGGAGGCCACGTGGTCTCAAAGGGAGGGCTGGCCAGACGGATTGCAGGGATGGGTTCCAGGGATAGCTGTTCCTGTGGGTAAGAAACATGCACTAGCAGACACCGTTGTGTCTTCATGTGGAGTGGAGGCCACGTGGTCTCAAAGGGAGGGCTGGCCAGACGGATTGCAGGGATGGGTTCCAGGGATAGCTGTTCCTGTGGGTAAGAAACATGCACTAGCAGACACCGTTGTGTCTTCATGTGGAGTGGAGGCCACGTGGTCTCAAAGGGAGGGCTGGCCAGACGGATTGCAGGGATGGGTTCCAGGGATAGCTGTTCCTGTGGGTAAGAAACATGCACTAGCAGACACCGTTGTGTCTTCATGTGGAGTGGAGGCCACGTGGTCTCAAAGGGAGGGCTGGCCAGACGGATTGCAGGGATGGGTTCCAGGGATAGCTGTTCCTGTGGGTAAGAAACATGCACTAGCAGACACCGTTGTGTCTTCATGTGGAGTGGAGGCCACGTGGTCTCAAAGGGAGGGCTGGCCAGACGGATTGCAGGGATGGGTTCCAGGGATAGCTGTTCCTGTGGGTAAGAAACATGCACTAGCAGACACCGTTGTGTCTTCATGTGGAGTGGAGGCCACGTGGTCTCAAAGGGAGGGCTGGCCAGACGGATTGCAGGGATGGGTTCCAGGGATAGCTGTTCCTGTGGGTAAGAAACATGCACTAGCAGACACCGTTGTGTCTTCATGTGGAGTGGAGGCCACGTGGTCTCAAAGGGAGGGCTGGCCAGACGGATTGAAGGGATGGGTTCCAGGGATAGCTGTTCCTGTGGGTAAGAAACATGCACTAGTAGACACCGTTGTGTCTTCGTGTGGATCGGAGGGCATGTGGACGCTAAGGGGGGGGCCTGGCTAGACGCGTGCTGGATGGCTTGCAGGGCCCTGTGCTGCGGATAGCTGTTCCCATGGGTAAGAGAGCTGTACTAGCAACAGAATTCTCTTCTCTCTTTCTCACACTGGCTAGACGCGTGTCGGACGGAATGCAAGGCATTGTGCTGCGGATGAGTGTGCCTGTGGGTAAGAGACCCGTTCTCTGTCCCCCTTCCACCCCCTTCCACCCCCTTCCACCCCCTTTGAACCCCTTCCACCACTCCCGTCAGTCACACACACGGTGGTGAAGCACAATCGTTGAGGCAAGTTCCTGGAGGATTGTTGATCTGATCTCCCTTCCACCCCCTTCTATCCCCCCCCCCCTCTCTCCACCCACCAGGCACGGTGGTGAAGCACAGCGCAAGCGGGGAGGCAAGTTCCTGGCGGATTTGGCAAACCCTCTCCCATGCCCCTTCCACTCTCTTCCAATCCCTTCCACTCCCTTCCACTCCCTTCCACCCTTCCCCCACACCCACTCGCCAGGCACAGTGGTGAAGTGAAGCGCAAGCGAGGAGGCAAGTTCCTGGCGGATCTATTAGCGTTCTCCCAACCTCCTCCACCGCTTTCCACCCCTTTCAACCTCTCCACCAGGCACGGTGGTGAAGCGCAAGCGGGGAGGCAAGTTCTTGGCGGATTTGGCAAACCCGGGAGATGAAGTGGTGGTGGCGAGAGGAGGCCGAGGAGGGGTGAGCTGGGGTGGTAAGGGCTGGTTCGTCTAAAATCAGGCATAGATTTTTGGTAAGGGAGCTGTTGTTTCTCTCTTCCTCCCTCGTGGCTGATTTGGCAAACCTGGGAGATGCAGTGGTGGTGGCGAGAGGAGGCCGAGGAGGGGTGAGTTGGGGAGAAGGGGTTAATAATAAGCCGTCCGTGGTTTCAAGGGTCGGGATTTGATAAAAATGCTGTGCTGTCTCTTTCCTGGCTGATTTGGCAAACCCGGGAAATGAAGTGGTGGTGGCGAGAGGAGGCCGAGGAGGGGTAAGTAGGGGCAGTGGAACTTTCTACGCCCGGTTTTCGGGTTCTGGGTTCAGGATGTAGCTTGTTTGTGAGAATTCTGCCGTTCTCCCTCCCTCCCTCCTGGCTGATTTGGTGAGCCCGGGGGATGAAGTGGTGGGGGCGAGAGGAGGGCTAGTAGATGGAGTGAGGTGGGGTGGTAAGGGCCGGCAAGCTCAGGTTCGGGGTTCGGGGTTCGGGGTTTGGGGTTTTGGTGTTGGCGCTGTTTCTCCTTTTCTCTTTCACCACAGTCCCTCCTCACTATTTCCCTTCCCCTCTCTCCCTCCTCCCCCACCACCCATTCCCCCCTCCCTCAGATCAGCGTGTATGAGTTTGCCTGCGTCCAACAAGGCCCACCTGCGCCCTGTGAAGGGCGATGGTGCACACACCAGCAGCAACCAGTGGGGGCTGAGCGTGCTCCTGAAGCAAATTCACCACTTCCCATCCCACCCCCCACCCCTCAGATCAGCGTGTATGAGTTTGCCTGCGTCCAACAAGGCCCACCTGCGCCCTGTGAAGGCACCGGCAGGGAGGAAGGGGACAGCAGGGGCTCGGCTGAGTGCTCTTCTGATGCAGCTTCACAACTCAATCCCGCTTCGCCACACCTCTTCACCCTTCTCCACTCCCCTGCATCCCCTCAGATCAGCGTGTACGAGCTGCCTGCGTCCAACAAGGCCCACCTGCGCCCTGTGAAGGCACCATTAGGCACCACCGTGATGAGCGCACCAGAAGACAAGGTGGGAGTGTGGGATTACCATCAATTTTTTCACAAGGTCTGCAAGCAAGCACCTTTTTTACACTTATAAATTTTACCTAAACAATATAGTTGCTGCCACGTACAGTCATGGCGCCTAAATGGGGCCCACAAGGCCCACCTGCGCCCTGTGAAGGCACCACTAGGGACCACCGTGATGGCCGCACCAGAAGACAAGGTGGGTGTTAGGAGAGGGATAGGGAACATAGGGGACATGGGGGGGGATTGGTGAATAGGTCTCTGCACTCGCAGCACTGCGGCCTGTGAAGGCACCACTAGGCACCACAGTGGTGTGCGCACCAGAAGATAAGGTGAGCGGTGGGGTGGGGCGTAGGGATGAGTTGAGTGATGGGGGGCTGACAGGGGGCTGACAGGGTAGGTACGTGGTTGCCTGCTGCGTCCAACAAGGCCCACCTGCGGCCTGTGAAGGCACCACTAGGCACCACTAGGCACCACAGTGGTGTGCGCACCAGAAGATAAGGTGAGGGGAGCAGGGCACATGGGCGGTTTTTGAGGCGCCTCAAAAATCGTGGTGTGCGCACCAGAAGATGAGGTGAGGGGAGAAGGGCACATGGGCGGTCAGGGGAGGGGAGACAAGGTGACATGTTAGTTTATCAACTTGCAAGTGTGGGTGTACACTCCAGGCCAAGGGGGCCCCAACCATTTTTAGTTGGGTGTGCCTCAACCCCACTCGGCCACAATTGATGGGGGGAACCCAACCTGGTTGATTCATCTCGTTTCGACAATTATTGGCCCCCCTCAAGTAATCGGTGGTCACTTCCCGAACGAACATTACTGGAGGTCACTCCCATTGAGTTGATTTTTGAGGCGCCTCAAAAGTCTTCCCAAACGAACATTACTGGCGTAAATCTTCACTCCCATTGTTGGAGCTATCGCTCTGTGCGAGTGGTTGCTGCGACACGAGGATGCAAAACACACAACCCTTGCACAGCCCATTCCCCCTCCTGACCTGTCCCCATACATTCCCACAGCAACTGACGCACGGCTCGGCTTGCAAGGCGAGGAGGCAGCGCTGGAGCTGACACTGCGAGTGGTTGCTTGCTGTGATGTGAGGAAGCAAAGGAGCTGACGCACACCCTTACACACCCCTTCCGTCCCCTCTCCCATCCCCCCACGCACATACCCACAGCAACTGGCGCACGGCTTGCAAGGCGAGGAGGCAGCACTGGAGCTGACACTGCGAGTGGTTGCTGCGAGGCGGCAAAATCACACAACCTTATTCACCCCGTCCTCCCTTCTCCTCTCTCCTCCCCCCTCTCTCCCCCCCACACACCCACACCCACAGCAACTGACGTATGGGTCGCAAGGCGAGGAGGTGGCGCTGGAGCTGACTTGGCGAGTGGTGGCTGTAAGCCCTTCTTCCCTTCGGCTCCTTCCTCCCAATCACCCACAGCAACTGACGTACGGCTTGCAAGGGGAGGAGGGAGCACTGGAGCTGACGCTGCGAGTGCTGGTGTGGTGTGTGCAAGGCCTTATGCAAGGATGCAAAACACACAACTTGCCAAGGCCTCTCATGACTCCCACACCCTTGCACACCCCTTCTCCTCCTCTCCCTTCCTCCCAAACACCCACAGCAACTGACGCACGGGTTGCAAGGGGAGGAGGCAGCACTGGAGCTGACGCTGCGAGTGGTGGCCGATGTGGGGCTTGTGGTGAGTGGAAGGGAGGAGGCTAATGGGAAGGATAGGATGTGAGGGGACGGGGATGAGTAACGAGGTGGGGCGAGTAGAGCAGGCAGCACTGGAGCTGACGCTGCGAGTGGTGGCCGATGTGGGGCTCGTGGTGAGTGAGGGAAGGGAGAAGTAGACTAGTGGGGAGGATGTGAAGGAGGGGCATAAGGAAGGAGGTGGGAGGGGGGGGGCGAGGAGGCAGCGTTGGAGCTGACGCTTCTAGTGGGGGCTGATGTGCGGCTTTGTGGTGAGTGCAGGGGATTGGAGGCAGGGACTATTTTTGAGGCGCCTCAAAAATCGGGGACTATGAGAGGGGAGTGCGGCTCGTGGTGAGAAGGGGGCGGGGTGAGAAGCGGAAAGGGGGTGGTTGGTTAGAAAGAGGATGAGAAGAGGAAGTAGAGGAGGTAGCATTGGAGCTGATGCTGCGAGTGGTCGTTGCTAGCAGCAATAACAGCAGCACGGCCGGATTCAGCAGACTACCCATTCACGACCCTCATGCTGCTGCTGCTATATCTCTCCCTTTGCCAACTCCACTCCACTCCACCCCTTCACACCACTCCTCCTTCCTCCTTCCTCCTTCCTCCTTCCTCCTTCCTCCTTCCTCCTTCCTCCTTCCTCCTTCCTCCTTCCTCCTTCCTCCTTCCTCCTTCCTCCTCCTCCTCCTTCCTCCTTCCTCCTTCCTCCTTCCTCCTTCCACCATCCCTATTCCTTCCCTCTCTTATCAGGGCTTCCCCAATGCAGGGAAGTCCTCCCTGCTAGCAGCGGTAACAGCAGTGCGACCAGAAACAGCAGCTCACCTACTGTTGCTACTCTTGCCCCACTCCCCTCCACCATCCCTATTCCTTCCCTCTCCTATCAGGGCTTTCCCAATGCAGGGAAGTCATCCCTGCTAGCAGCGGTAACCGCAGCGCGGCCAGAGATAGCAGACTACCCGTTCACGACCCTCATGCCGAACCTGGGTCGCATGCCTGCCGACCCTGCTGGTCCGGATGGCGGGTTCGGCGACGGGCCTACGCTGGCGGATCTGCCGGGGCTGATTGAAGGGGCGCATGTGGGGAAGGTGGGTAGGGGGGGGGGGGGGTGAGGTAAAGGACTGTTTTAAGGGAAGCTACAAGGTAACTTTTGAGACGTCTCAAAAGTCGTACACGATATGGGTGCTTTCAAGACGGGCCTATTCTGGCAGACCTGCCAGGGCCGATCGAAGGGGCGCATGTGGGGAAGGTGGGTACTGGGTGGGGGGGAAGGGATTGGGTGTGAGGAAAAGGAATGTATCAGGGGAAGGTATAAGGCATGGGTGCTTCTAAGACGGACCTTACCTGGCAGACCTGCCAGGGCCGATCGAAGGGGCGCATGTGGGGAAGGTGGGTACTGGGTGGGGGGGAAGGGATTGGGTGTGAGGAAAAGGAATGTATCAGGGGAAGGTATAAGGCATGGGTGCTTCTAAGACGGACCTTCCCTGGCAGACCTGCCAGGGCCGATCGAAGGGGCGCATGTGGGGAAGGTGGGGGTGGGGGGGAAGGGATTGGGTGTGAGGAAAAGGAATGTATCAGGGGAAGGTATAAGGCATGAGTGCTTCTAAGACGGACCTTCCCTGGCAGACCTGCCAGGGCCGATCGAAGGGGCGCATGTGGGGAAGGTGGGTACTGGGTGGGGGGGAAGGGATTGGGTGTGAGGAAAAGGAATGTATCAGGGGAAGGTATAAGGCATGGGTGCTTCTAAGACGGACCTTCCCTGGCAGACCTGCCAGGGCCGATAGAAGGGGCGCATGTGGGGAAGGTGGGTACTGGGGGGGGGAGGGATTGGGTGTGAGGAAAAGGAATGTATCAGGGGAAGGTATAAGGCATGGGTGCTTCTAAGACGGACCTTCCCTGGCAGACCTGCCAGGGCTGATCGAAGGGGCGCATGTGGGGAAGGTGGGTACTGGGTGGGGGGGAAGGGATTGGGTGTGAGGAAAAGGAGTGTATCAGGGGAAGGTATAAGGCATGGGTGCTTCTAAGACGGACCTTCCCTGGCGGACCTGCCAGGGCTGATCGAAGGGGCGCATGTGGGGAAGGTGGTTACCGGTGTGGGTGGGGAGGGGGTGAAGAAATAGCCTGGGGAGGGACCTACTTTGGCGGATTCTCGCAGTTGGATTCGAGTGTTTTCTTCACCACTTGCTTTGTCATCCTCTCATCCTTACTTTCCCTCTTTGTCATCCTCTCATCCACCCCAGCCGTCCATCTTTCTTTCCCCTACCTTCCTCCTCCCCCCTCCCCCCTCACTCCTCCAATACAATCCCCTCTCACCAGGGCCTGGGTCGCATGTTTCTTCACCACTTGCGCCACACACGGATGCTGCTGCACGTGCTCAATGCCTCTGCCCAACCTTCTTCCTCTGCTTTAACCTCGCTTCTCCCTCCCATCCTCTTCCCTCTCCACCCACCCCTCTCCCCCCATTCTCACCAGGGCCTGGGCCGCATGTTCCTGCGCCACCTGCGCCGCACGCGGGTGCTGCTGCATGTGCTGGATGCCTCCTCTCAATAGCCCTTCTCCGCGTTAACCCCCCTTGTCCCTCTCCTCCTCTTCCCTCACCCCCTTTCTCATCACGGCCTGGGCCGCATGTTCCTGCGCCGCACGCGGGTGCTGCTGCATGTGCTGAATTCCCCTTCCCTCCTTCCCCTCCTTCCACCTCCCTTGCCCCTCCCCTCCTTCCCCACCCCCCCTCTCTCCCCCACTTTCCTCACTTTTACCAGGGCCTGGGTCGCATGTTCCTGCGCCACTTGCGCCGCACCAGGGTGCTGCTGCATGTGCTTGATGCTTCTGCTCCCGATCCTGTTCATGACTACGTGGTGTTGAGAGAGGTCAGAAACGGTTTGGATGGTGAAGGTTACTAGTAGCCACTCTCAAGGGTGTTACTCGATGTGCTCGATGCGTCTGCGCCTGATCCCATCCACGACTATGTGGTGTTGAGAGAGATGAGGTGAGGTGAGGTAAGGTGAGGTGAGGTAGCCACCTACACCTGATTATGTTATGCTGAGCCGCACCTGATTTGGGTGTGTGAAGTTCATAAGCCTCTACTCCTTCCTCTGCACCTCTCCTTGTTTCTCCCTCTACAACCCTCCCAGGTCAACGCATGCCCCTTCCTTGCCTTGTTTCTTTCCCAACCCTTTTCTTTCCCAACCCTTTCCTTTCCCAACCCTTTCCTTTCCCAACCCTTTTCTTTCCCAACCCTTTCCTTTCCCAACCCTTTTCTTTCCCAACCCTTTTCTTTCCCAACCCTTTCCTTTCCCAACCCTTTCCTTTCCCAACCCTTTTCTTTCCCAACCCTTTTCTTTCCCAACCCTTTCCTTTCCCAACCCTTTCCTTTCCCAACCCTTTCCTTTCCCAACCCTTTCCTTTCCCAACCCTTTTCTTTCCCAACCCTTTCCTTTCCCAACCCTTTTCTTTCCCAACCCTTTCCTTTCCCAACCCTTTCCTTTCCCAACCCTTTCCTTTCCCAACCCTTTCCTTTCCCAACCCTTTCCTTTCCCAACCCTTTCCTTTCCCAACCCTTTTCTTTCCCAACCCTTTTCTTTCCCAACCCTTTTCTTTCCCAACCCTTTTCTTTCCCAACCCTTTTCTTTCCCAACCCTTTTCTTTCCCAACCCTTTCCTTTCCCAACCCTTTTCTTTCCCAACCCCTTGTATGTTTCCTTCCCGATACCGATCTCCTCCTGGCTCTGTTTCCCAGGAGCTAAGGATGTACAACCCAGAGTACACTTCTCGCCTCCACATTCTTGTGCTCAACAAGATCGACCTACCTGAGGTGAGTCGCTTTTGAGAATTCGCTTTTAAGAATTCGCTTTTGAGAATTCTCAAAAGCAACCCACATTCTTGTGCTCAACAAGATAGACCTACCTGAGGTGAGCCTTCCCCCTGGACCTTCCTTTGTCACCCTTCAAACAGTGGGTCGTCTTATTGCCCCCATGTTCTTGTGCTCAACAAGAGAGACCTACTATTAGAATAGCAGAATGGTTGACTAACGGAGACTGGTGATACAAGTACAAACCCTAACTGTGCTATCCCCTTTAGAGTGTGCCCCACTATAGCCTACACATATGTAATTAGCTTGACACCTACCCGAGGTGAGCCTTTCACCTGGACCTTCCTTAGTCACCCTTCAAACACTCGGTCATCCCATCACCCTCACATTCTCGTGCTCAACAAGACAGACCTACCCGAGGTGAGCCCCCTGCGTCCCTTGCGTTCAGACGTTGCAGAACCCACAATGCACCTATTAGTCATCCAATCACCCTCACATTCTCGTGCTCAACAAGACAGACCTACCTGGGGTGAGTGACTGTTTCCCTTCCCCCAGCCATACCACACCATACCATACCATATCGTACCATACCATACCATACCATACCATACCATGCCATACCATACCACACCACACCACACCACACCACACCACACCACACCACACCACACCACACCATACCATACCATACCATGCCACTTCCACACCACACCACACCACACCATACCACACCACACCACACCACACCACACCATACCATACCACGCCACTTCCACACCACACCACACCACACCACACCACTCCACACCATACCATACCATACCATACCATACCACACCACACCACACCACACCACACCACACCACACCACACCATACCACACCATACCATACCATACCATACCATACCATACCATACCATACCATACCATACCACACCACACCATACCATACCATACCATACCATGCCATTGCGTCATGGCATGCATGCCTAATTGCAGGTAAACTTAGGGATGTATGTCTAACAAGCAAGCATCCAAATTGTTGAATGCACATGTGTCCAATACCACAGCACACCATAGCATCGTGACTTGAGACGTCTCAAAAGCCAATATCAAAGAAATTCACAGCAAGCGTGAAAGAAAGCACATAGAACATACAAAACCATAGCATTGTGTCCTTGCTTGTTCCATGCCCTTGCTTTCACTCTCACATTTATCTTTCAATATATTATTAGGCGCTGCCAACAACAGTTCCCTCCCTCCTCCCTTCCTTCCAAACCTCATGTCAGGTTCGTCAGCGCATTCCGGACCTAAGAAGTCAGATCGCCCAGCTGACATCAGCAAGTCAACCAGCTGACGTCAGCATCAGCAGCAAAGATACCTCCTCCTCCTCCTCCCCCTCCTCCTCCTATCGCTCCTCTCCCCCTTCTGCCCCTCCTCGCGCCTACACTGATGAGGGTTCATTGAGCCGACTAGACGATGACTGGGAGGATTCAAGAGGGGGTGGTGACGCTGATGCTGACGTTGATGCTGACGCGGATGGGGATGGGCATGTTACAATGGATCCCGAATCGTCGCCAACTGAGCGAATGGAACCTCCCATTGCCATTGTGCACATCAGTGCTCGGTGAGTCATTGACAGTGATGGTAGTACCCTGTCCCTCCCCTCGTTCCACTCATACCCCTTCTGCGAGTTCTTCCCCCCTCATCATCCCCCTTCTCTCCCTTCATCCCTTTTCCTCCCGACTTCACCAGAGACGGGGAGGGCATAGAGGACTTGCTGACGGTGGTGCGAGAGGCAGTGGGGTCATTGTCCCTCCCCTTGTCCCCTTAACACCACTTCTGCGCTCCTTTGCCCACCTGCTCCTCTGTCCCCTTCACCCCCCTTGTCTCTTGATTTGACCAGCGAGGGGGAGGGCATAGAGGACTTGCTGATGGTGGTGCGAGAGGCAGTGGAGGCGGAGAGGAGGGGGGAGCTGCGGGGAGGGGAGGGGAGGCTGGGGGGAAGGGTGGGGGGGAGAGGAGGGATGGGCCGAAGGAGCAGCAGGGGGGTGCAGGGAGGGGTGGAGAGAGAGAAGGCACCTCAGTGGCAGCTGTGACTTTGTTTAGGGAAGCTTTATCTTGAGATGTTCTAAAGCGTCGCGAAATCTCATTTTTTTTACAGTGCAGGCAAGAGCAGGGCATTGTGAGGAATAATACCATAACATGGGGTGGTGATATTGTTGAGAGTAGTTTCTCTAGATTGCAGAATATGCATCATTTCTTACAACAATTTCTCTCTGAACCCGACCCCGACTGTCTCAAGAAGTCTGCCCATTGAGCATTCAACCACACCTTGATGTATCTCTCTCATGCTTTCATTGATCCCGTAGAAGTGTATTACCTCTTGCGCCTTGAACTGTTTCGCATTGTTTACTGTGCCACCGCGAGTAGTTGCTAATATCGGGCTATGCTCACTTTCCAGTGTGGATTGGGCTATTGCCGCGCTGGCTCCTTGTCAAAAAGCCGGAGTCTGACAGGGACGAGTCGAATGAACCTTTCAATCTGCAATTGTGGACCTTTGAGAGAAACGTGCGACACACGACAGCGAGGTCCAGGTCATGCGGCAGCGTGGTCGTTTGGTGCCAACAATCTGGGTTACGGAACATTCTACGGCTCATACTGTACCAAGAAAAAATTGAAACTTTTGGTGGACCGTGGAACTCTAAGGACGCGTCACATGTCCAACACAAATCCCGTGAAATATCGGTGTGCAGCATCTACACTGTATTCGCTATTTCGCGAAAGACATGTATCTCGTTGTCGTTAAGCATGTCGCGAAAATCGTGCACATGCATAAAACCCCTGATCGGATGGCTCAAACTGCCACATCGATCGTGCGATTGACAGAGCGGAAATCAAAATCGCAACACCAGTTCCAGCCACGATCGATCGCCGTCGCATACTGTCGGCCACCTTCAATATGGTAACTTCGTACCCTGCTTTGTCGCCATCAATTGAGCAAGCAGCTTGGTATTTCTCTCTCGTCACAAGCCATGCGAAATTGTGCTACTCGCCAGCGAGGCACGGCTCCTGCGCTAGTCGCTGGGTGTACAGTTGGCATGGAGATCCCCAACTTGCAAACCCGGTCTTGTCCCATTTGGCTCGGGGAAGCAGCCAACTCTGCTCCTGCGGATTGAATCACGTTTTTCGCAAGTCCATGCACAAATTCTCGGTGTTTGGAGCCGATCTACCGCGGTGTTGCACATGTGACGCGTCCTAAATTCTGTCTGGGCAAGAGAAGAGGCCCAAATGCCGCCACATGGCCAATCAAAACGTTGCAGTGACGTGTTCCATAAAAAAGAATGGCAGGTTTGCCGGTCATGCTGCACAAGGCGGCTCGAGATGACCAAAATTCGAGAACCCTGCGCTTCGAAAGCATCATCGTCGTTTCAAATCCTTCTTCGGCGAAATTCACTATTCAGCTCGCAACACCTTTCGGTCTCTGGAAGCTGACATCGACGGCACGAACCAAACCCCGAATCTGACCGCTCTGAATCGCCAACGAGTCGGAACGGACCACATAGTTTTCGCACATCGCACACAGGGTGGGTATCTTGCTGACGAATATCCAATCAACCGTCTCCTCCACATCGAACGACTCACTTCAACCGATTCCTTCGTCGCATGATGGCCATCTTGCGACTGCACCAACTTGACCTTGTGGGAAATCGTGAAAACACTTTCAAATCAACATCGCGCCTCGGGAAATGTGATGTGTCTGTCGGTCAAGGAAGCTCGGCTCAAGATTTCGTAACCAACCCGCGAACCGTGAGAAGTGGCGTGACGCAGCCACAAATTTCACTTCAAGGCAGCCATAGGGAATTCACCCCCAGCCTGTCAGCACTGCCCTCGGACGTACGTTGCTTGGTTGGGTGGTCAGACTGGGCCAATCGCCGCCGAGCCGCCTCACCGCATTTCAAGGGAAAAATTGCGCGAAGCGACAGACTCAGAACTTTTTTTGATCCTATCGACCAAGCTCGCACCGCAGGTAGGGCGATCCGAACCTCGGCCAAATGGATCGACCTACATGCAATTTTGCGATAAATACAGACAATTCTGATGCGTAAGAGTCGGTGGTCCATCTCGATGTCGTTGTTTCGGAAGCGCGATTATGTTTGGCGCGCGTGCCACGTTTCTTGTTTACTGGAATATATATTGCGCGGGCAATAAAAAAATAAACCCCATCCGGATGGCATGCCATTCGGGAGCCTCAACCCTAAAATTTTAGGGTTGAGGCTCCCGAATGGCATGCCGTAAGCCATGGGGTTTATTTTGTTTGCCCGCGGTCAGCATGCTGACTCACTCGGTAGCGTCGTGTAGCGAAATCAAATATATATATTGGAAGATTCGGAACCTCAAGCTGTAATTTCGCGATTCTGACCGTAAAACCAAATGGCACCTGTAACGCCTAATTAACCATGTTCGCAGCATGAAAATAACGTGAAAGCGCATGTAGGTGGATCCATTTGGCCGAGGTTCGGATCGCCCTACCTGCGGTGCGAGCTTGGTCGATGGGTTTGAGAGAAGTCCGCGGTCTGTCGCGTCGCGCAAGTTTTCCCATTTCACGCCTGCGGCAACACAGACGGAAGCAGCCACTCGGAAATCCCTCGAGGGTTCCAGTGGTTTGTCGATCTGTTCTGCGAACCAACCTGGGGCCAACATCATATACATGCAAATTAGTCTGGTAACCCTATTCAGTGGTATGCAAAACCGTCGATACCCCAGTTCTGCTTCGCAAATTTGTCTGGTAGCGCCACATAAAACACTGTGTAACAGCTGATGCAGCACAAAAAGGATGCAATGGGTGAAACAATCGATTGCATTTTCAATTTCGTTTCATTGTTTTTTTCACCGCGCTTTGTTTGACGCTTAACAAAGATTCCTGCGGGCGACAATTTTCCGTTAAATGTGCACGATAATTTTAACAGGAAAATCCGTCGAATGAAAGTTAACGGTGTCATTTTTGTAGCAATATATTGCACCCCATATATTGCTACCGGGTACTGTTAGGGCAGGCAAGAAAAAAAACCCCTAGGGACCTGGACTCCTTTCAGGGAGGGATCAACCCTAAACACGGGAAAGGCATTGTATTTAGGGTTGATGCCTCCCCAAGTGCATCCCTTTCCGACCGGGTTTTATTTTTTCTGTCAGGTATAGTGAACAGTGTTGCCCATCTGGCGAACAGTTGCCCGAATAAATCGAAGTTTAGCGGAAATACAAGCGCGGTAGAAATTAGTACGTTGATTTAAAAGAATCATGATACTACGGCAATATGTCAATACCTCCAAAACCGAGGTATCGACGGTTTTGCATACCATCGAATAGGGTTACCAGACTAATTTGCATGTATATGATGTTGGCCCAACCAACCTGACCGCACCAACCAAACACGTCACGTGTCCCCCTCCCATCGGAGCAGGGCTTCTCTTCACACGTCACCTCACCTCACTCAGGGGTTACTTTGCGCCGCGCGACGCATTCGGTTAGGTTGGGTTCCACACTCTTCAACACGGTCCTTCGACAGTACCAGGTGTCACCGTAACGAACCATACCTGACCGTGAAAAAACGCCTGCTAATCCCAATGTGAAACCCAACTTCCGAGTTTCCATTCCACATCACACTTTTCTAGACAGACTGTTCAACCAGCCAAAGCGGTTCCACTGTTATCCCGTCCACACACACTGACTGTTCCAAAAGCTTGTCTCGGCTTCTCCCAGGTCCGCCCGATCCGAGAACATCACAGCAATCATCGTCACCTCATCGCGATCGCGAGAGTATTTGACCCTGCTGGCTCTTTAGACTTTTCAATATTAGCTGTTTGTTTTCACACGCTTCGCAGTTTGGCAAATCCGACGCTTTCTAGGTTTAGCGGACGCCCTATCGAGAAGTCATCATTCGAGATCTATCGACAGCTTATTTCTTGGCCTCGTCGAAATTCTTCTGACACCTGTAATCCTCGCGCGCGTTGATCAACAGAACCTTAGTAAGTCTTCACCTAGTCGTAGTATCTCGTGACCTGTCTAGTCTCGCCTAGGCTACTTATTCTGGTTTTCACGAACTGTTTCTTCGCTTTGAGCATCTAACGGTTATAACTTCGTGTTAACTTCGAGCATGACGTTCGTCTCGTCCAACTCGTCTCAGTCACACCCTCAGACAGTCACTCTTGACACCTCTCATCCTCATCATAAGCCTCGGACAATCACACGTACGGTTCGCGTTTGGCCCGACAGGACCGGCGACGCTTCTCACTCTCTATCTCGCGTCTCCGAAGCCCACGCCTGTAGAAACGGGTTTGCCACGTCAGTGCCAGCAAGGACCGGCCATACGCCTGCAAAGAACTCGTCAGCAGTAGACGTTGACGCTGCAAGTGCGCGCCGCGTTTGCGATCAGTTTGCAGCAACTCCCGCGTCGGCCGCGGGACGAGTGTCTCAGTCTCAGTTGACTTCAATTACAGAATCCTCTCCTGCTTCAATGATGTCTTGGCTATCCTCGAAAGAGGTGCGTGGTGCTTCATGCTTAGCGAGACACTGGATAGACGCGAGTTCGGAGCTTAGATTCGCATCATATCAGCCCGCGATGCCTTTTTCAGGTGTAGTTTCTGGTTCGTTGAAGCGCCGAAGAGACGAGAAGGACGGGCTTTCAGATCTTGCCCAGCGTAAGGAGCAGCGATCCTGTGGCATGATGATCGGCAAGAGTAACGGCGTTTACGTCGCTTCTATGGGTGCTGCAGAGCAGGCGCGGCTTAACGGTGCGGCTTTGTTTTACTCGACTCAGAAATCGGTTTTTCCGGAGCTCCTGCCTGCGGCAGCCGCGGAAGCTGACGTGGCCTTCCCGTCGGGTCCCTCCGGTGTGGTGAGTCCTGTGTGGGAGTCGAACTCGGGACTTCTAGCAGGCTCTTTACTAGGAGGGTCCTTAACAGGCGCTCTGGCAGACTCGCCGGTTTTGTACGAGGAGCGGTTCGCTGATCCGTTATGGAATCACGGACTGACGTACTCGGTTTATCCGGCAGATTATAACGCGGACGGCGGACTATTCGTGACAGCGGCTGCAGCGGGCGCGGGAGAGGATGCAGGTGATGACTATAACGGGGATGCGGTGGACGTGCCGCGGATCGACTCATCGGCGCATATTAACGATCTTATAGCGCAGTACTCGCGAGCAGACGTTGTCGCAGCGGCTGACGCGGCGGAAGCGACGGCAGCGGCAACTCTCGTTTTTCCGTCTGACAACGTGTCCGCATCTCGCGGATTTTCGTCCTCGTTCCGTCAGCCGCTACTTGACGGCCCGGCTGGTTCCGCCGGCGCGGGTGCGTGGTTGGAAAAGTCGGCTGTGCGCTCTGACAAATTCTCATTGTCGGAGCCGCGTTTGGCTTCTGATTCCCGTGATTGGATGGTCGCGGCGCCGTACGACCGCTTTAATCGGCTTCCGGGAGTCGCGGAGGAGGTTGACGAGCCGCGGGAATCAGGAATCAAGGAGAATGACACGTGGGAGGTGCTGCGGGCAGGCAAGCGTTTGCGGACGGGCAAGGAAGCGCAGCGGGCAGATTCACGGGCAGACGATGCATCGCCGGCAGGGGTCGAGACTCGAGCGGTGAAGGAGACGAGGCGTGATGCTGAGCGCGCCGCGGCTGAAGAGAAGGAGAAGGACCCTACCGGTGCAACGACAGGTGCCGCGGATGCAGAGACGAGCCTTGCGTCTGGAAGCCTTGCAGCGGGATTGCTCGCGGGTTGGGCCCACGCGACGGCTGTAGCGGAGTTGCCGGCTGCAGCAGACGCTGTAGCTGAGGTGCCGGCTGTAGCGCTGGATGGCTCTGCGACGCCGTATCACACGCCGCACATGACGCCTTATCACACGCCGGAGCGCCAGGTAGGCGCTGACGTGGCGGGTCTCCAGGCGGCGCAGGGATTAGCGGACGAGTGTGCTCCTGGCCCGGGATCACGGGTTGACGTGGCGGCTCCAGGGACGGGGATCGCTGAGCTGGGCTCGCTGGAGGACACGTGGCAGGTTTCTAGCAGCACGAAACGTGCGATGAAGGAGTGGCTTGAAACGGTAGGGGGAACGGGGGAAGCAGGGAAAGGGGATGGGGAGGGGGAAGGTACGGGAGATGAGGGCGAGGGGGAAGATGGAACGGATCCCCTGGATTGGCTGCTGAAGGCGTCTCCTCCGCGCATCCACGAGGGTGATTTACCCAGCGAGGGTGTTTTACCCCAGGGTGGAGTTTCAACACACTGGGGTGTTTTACCCAATTGGGTGCTGGAGGAGCTGGAAGGGGCAGGAGTAGAGGAGGGGGTGGAAAAGAAAGACGATCTTGAGGACTATATGGAGGAGGCTTTTAGCGAGGATGAGGGTCTGCAGGTGCTGGTGCGAGCCGATTCCCATGAGAGCTCCACTGCTGCCCCTTCTGTGTACAGTCCGTGGTCCAGAGTGGTGGAGAGTGGTGTTAGAGCTGCAGAGGAGGGGGAGACACAGGTAGTTAAGAAGCAGCAGCAGGAGGCGGAGGAGGAGAAGGAGGGGAAAGGGAAGCAAGGGGGGCAGCAGCAGGATGTGCCTTCTGCATGGATGAACGGCTGTGATTCGATTGATCTGGGGCTTGAGTATGCTGCAGTGGAGGAGTCGGAAGGAGGTGAGGAAGGGGAGGAAACTGACGTGGCGACTGGAGAAGCTTCTGGGAAAGACTCTGTGTCGCATGCACGGAGGGAGGAGGATGAAGGGGGGGAGGAGGGAGAGGAGGGGCTTGGAGAGTCAGCAGCGGTGGGGAGTTCTGATGCAGATGATGGGGCAGATTATGATTCCGATGCTGATGCTGCTGGTGATGCTGATGCTGCTGGTGATGGTGATGGTGATGGTGATGGTGATGGTGATGGTGATGGTGATGGTGATGGTGATGGTGATGGTGATGGTGATGGTGATGGTGATGGTGATGGTGATGGTGATGCTGCTGAGGATGGTCCTGGGTGTGAACCTGAGGGATTCAGTTTTGACGAGAGTAGTTTTGTTCGAGAGATTGAGGCTCAGCTGTTGGCTTGAGCGTTTTTGCAGCGATGAGGTGCTGGGGTGGGGTCTGTCTGTTCCTTGTTCCTCCACCTCATGCTGCTGCTGCTACGGCTACTGCCCTTTCTGCTCTGGCTGGTTTCAGTGCGATGGGTAGTGGTTGGTGGTGATGGTGCGTCTGTTGCTCTGCTACTGATATACTGACGTGACTCTTGCAGATGTGATGCTAATGAACAGTTTACTGTTGCAGTTCCTGAATGGGTGGGTGGCATTGCATGCATAGCTTACTGTAGACAGTAGGAATTTTGGTTAGATAATGTAGGCCAGTCTCTTGTACATATTGTTTCAATTCTTTTCTAAGGTGACAATGAATGCTAGTCAAGAGGGAAGGACCAGGGGAACCTGTAAACAATTGACGGACAGGAGTTGCAATGGTACATGCAGTGATCTTGACTAATGAGACCAACCCTAGGACACGTTCATCACGTCGCGGCTCTTACGGTACATTGCAGGTCACGTTATACACGACTTTAATCTGCCTGCATTACCGTATCACGGAAAATGAGGGTTCAGTCAATTCAGGTACCATAGATGCAATTAAGGCCTGGTACTGTTGAGGGATGCTGTACACACCTAGTATGTGTAAAATGAAGTGTCAAGAGTGACATTACGGTATAATCTCACGACAGCTATTTCACCATAGTCCACAGTACACAAGTGTACTCTGTTCTCATCATAGATCTAGGATTTGAAGTGTAGTTTGCTGTAACTGTTTCTTCTCGTTCTAGTTTAAACCCGCACTGTAGAGCTATTCTCTTCACATCTGCTGCGCTTAACTCTATAGATAATTCGTCCGACCCATCAGGGGTTACTGTATCGGCAAAGTGGTACAGTAGTGGGCCAAGATTCACCCACACTCCACCCGGCCGAAGCAGCTTATAAATAATCTCGATGTAGGTTACAATGTTGTGCGCAGTATCAATGAAAAAGCACGTTGCTACACTGTCCCATGCACCTGTAGTGGTTTCAGAGAGAAGAGATGGTAAGTGGAAGAGAAAGGGAGTATGGGGGATTGGTAGTGTATGGGGCATTGGCAGTGTATGGGGTATTGGTACTGTATGGGGCATTGGTAATGTATGGGGCATTGGTACTGTATGGGGTATTGGTACTGTATGGGGTATTGGTACTGTATGGGGCATTAGTAGTGTATGGGGCATTGGTAGTGTATGGGGTATTGGTACTGTATGGGGTATTGGTACTGTATGGGGCATTAGTAGTGTATGGGGCATTGGTAGTGTATGGGGTATTGGTACTGTATGGGGTATTGGTACTGTATGGGGTATTGGTACTGTATGGGGTATTGGTACTGTATGGGGTATTGGTACTGTATGGGGTATTGGTACTGTATGGGGTATTGGTACTGTATTGGAACACAAGAAAGGGAGGAAAGATCTGTGGCAGAATTCAGGGGCAAGATAAGGTGGGATGTGCGATCGGGGGACAGAAATGGAAGCCTAGGCAACGCAGGGGAAAGCAAACGTGTGAAATTGCTCAATTTCCCACATACCACATTCACTCACTGGTACTTTACCATGTCACCTAGCCTAAGCCATTGCCGATGGCGATCCAAGCTTACACCTCTCAACTGGATGGCTCCAAGCCTACCTCTTTGCTTCGCATGGTACCAAGCCTAGCTCTCTGCTCCGGATGGCTCCAAACCTACATCCTTGCCAGGTTTCAAGCCTACCTTTCAGCTTCGGATGCCCCCAAGCCTACCTCTCTGCTCCGGATGGCTGTAAACCTCCACAAAATCGCCTGCGCACATGGAGAATCCCTCGGTGATCCCCGCTAGGCTCGGCACCAGGTCCGGGACAAGCACGGGCCGAAGCTGATCCTCGTCAGTCAGGTTATTCGAGCTGGAGAGGATCCAGGGGAAGATGCAGAACTGCCCTGGAAATTCAGGGTAATTGAGGAGAAAGCCCGAGCAGATGAGGATGTAGTAGGAGAAATCATTCCCTTGGGTTTCAAATCCCAGGCGAGAGATTTCTAGGGCAAGCCGCCCTAAGCCTGCTCCTGGAATCAGGCAGGTAGGGGGGCGGGAAAGAGAAGCGGGCAAAGCGCCCTGCTTGTGCTTCCCATGCAGCTGCTGCTCCTGTTGCTCCTGCTGTTGATGCTGCTGCTCCTCCTGCTGCTGGTTCTGCTCTGAAAATGCTTGCTGGCCTTGACTGCTGTCTCCTCCTGGTCTCCTCAGCCCAGGAAACTTCCTACGAAGCTCCCTCAAGATGGGAGCATAGCACTGTTCACGCTCCGTCGCCCCCTCCGCCGCCCAGTCCCGAACAATGTTCCGGAGCACACACCGAACCTTGTCCACGTCAGCAGGAGGCACGTCCGGGAGATCCCGAGGCAAGGGGAACCAGGGAGGGGGATACACCCGAGGCACACTGGCAAATGATGACAGGAGGTTTTGTTGAGCTGGAACTGCTACAGGGGTTACATCTGGCGTTACATCAGGAATTGCATCAGGAGTTACATTTGGAGTAAGGGGAAGTTTGCTTGAAAGGTGTTGGGTTGCTGCTGCTGGGAACCCCCTTCCCCCTCTCCCCTCCTTGCATCCTCCTCTTTCCTCCTTCCTTCCTCCTCTTTCCTCCTCACATCCCCCTCTCTCCTCCTTGCATCCTCCTCTTTCCTCGTCACTTTTGAAGAATTCCTGTCGTTCGTCTTGCCCCATAGGTTCATCCATCATGGGAAGGTTCCTAGCAGTTGCAGAAGAAGTTTCAGGAGCAGTGTTGCGACTCTTGGGTGATAACTCTTCCTTATGTGGCTGCTGCTGCTGTTGGTGGCAGTGGTGGTGGTGGTGCTGCTGCTGCTGCTGCTGGTAACTATGGTGATGGTCATAAGGAGATTGAGGATGAACATGGTCATGGGCATGGCCATGGGAATGGTCATGGGCATGGCCATGGGAATGGTCATGGGCATGGCCATGGGAATGGTCATGGGCATGGTTATGTTGACATGCATTGCCATCATGACCCATGGAAGTCTGAGTGGGAGGGAAGGGCGGCTCAAATGCTTGCAGCATGTCCGTGAGAAACTGGGCATTGTGGGCAATGCGCCTGGAGGGGGAGGGGTAGAGGAGGGAGGGATGGAAGGGTAGAGGGGAGGCAAGGAGGGATGGGAGTAAGGGGGGATGAAGAGGCTCAAATGCTTGCAGCGTTTCCGTGAGGAAGCAGGCATTGTGAGCAATGCGCTTGGAGAGAGGAGTGGCGGGAGGGGTGGATAGAGGTGAGGAGGGATAGACAGGAGTGAGGACGGATGGACAGGGGTAAAGAGGATGGATGGAGGAGGGTGAGGGGGGATGGTTGTGACAAGAGCACACTTCCACACGGCACATCCATGATTCAACATGCGAGTAAGCAAGTGACGGGAGGGATGGGATGGGAGGAACTAGATTTTACACATCCATGATTCAGCATGCGAGTAAGCAAGTTAAAGACACAGGCTTGCTTTGGTTCGCTCCTCCTCTCCCTTACACATCCATGATTCAGCATGTGAGCAAGCAAGTGACAGGAGGGATGGGACGGGAGGCGGGGACTAGACTTTACACATCCATGATTCAACATGTGAGCAAACAAATTAAGGATTTAGGTTTGCATCGGGTCAACTGAAAACGTCCGCTTTTGAGTCGACTCAAAAGCAGACTGAAAACGTCCGCTTTTGAGTCGACTCAAAAGCAGACTGATAACGTCCACGGTTCAAGATAGGGTTGCTTTGTGACGTCTCCAAGGACTGAACGCACACATGCCAGCTTGCACCCATGCCAGCTTGCACACATGCCAGCTTGCACCCATGCCAGCTTGCACCCATGCCAGCTTGCACCCATGCCAGCTTGCACCCATGCCAGCTTGCACCCATGCCAGCTTGCACCCATGCCAGCTTGCACGCATTCGTGGGATGGGCCTCGAAGTTCAATCCACTCACATGCGGACAGAGGCATATTTGTTTTTTTAGGCGCTTCACAAACACTGTAAGCCTGCATGCATGTGTAGCAGCAGCCTTAAAGTTCAATCCACTCACATGCGAATAGAGGCATATTTGGCCGGCAGGTGCGACAGCAGAGCCTGCAGTGTAACACACAGAGATGAGTGTGAGGGGAGATTGTGAGGGAGAGAGCGCGTGAGGAAATAGGGTGAAGGGACAGCAGCGTTTTCAGTACAACACAACACGCTGGGCGGCATGTCGAAGTTGGAAGAACAACGACTTTTGAGGCGCCTCGAAAGTTTTCAGTACAACACAACACACTAGGCGGCATGGTGAAGTTGGAACACCGACGCTTGATGATTCTGGGCTAAGAGGGGAGTGTGACAGGGAGAGTGCTTAATGCGTGAGAGTGAGGGGCGAGTGTGAGACTGTGAGGGAAGAGTGTCGAGACAGGATAAGCAGAAGAAAAAAAAGTAATAGGAGGAATGGAAAAAATGGCATCAATGGACTTTCTCACCTGCTGACGTGGCAGCAGCCTGGCATAGGCTCGCTCCCACCGCTGCACCGTCCAATCAGCAGCAAAGGGGTAGCTGCGAGGGGGGGGATGAAACGTACGGAAAGCAAAGAGTGGTGTGGTGGCATGGAATCAGGCATATGCTCGCTCCCACCGCTGCACCGTCCACTCAGCAGCAAAGGGGTAGCTGCGAGGAAGGGAAAAAGGAGAAGTGGGGGAGTTGAAGCGAGGAGAGGAACGTTGAAACGAGTTGAAAAATGGGAAAAGGTATTGGCCTTGCATTGACGACAGACTGGTCCAGGCTCGCTCCCACCGCTGCACCGTCCACTTAGCAGCCAAGGGGTAGCTGGCTGCGAGGAAGGGAAAAAGGAAAAGCGGGGGAGTTGAAGCGAGGAGAGGAACGTTGAAACGAGTTGAAAAGTGGGAAAAGGTATTGGCCTTGCATTGACGACTGAATGGCATCGTCCCGCTCCCACCGCTGCACCGTCCACTCGGCAGCAACGGGGTAGCTAAGGGCAAAAGGAGAAGCGGGGATAGGGGAATCGAAGAGAGGAAGGAAACGCAGTGAGGGGTTGGACGAGTGGAAAGGAAATGCTCTGGCATAGGTTCGCTCTCACTGGTGCACTGACAACTTAGCAGTAAAGGGGTATGCTAGTGGTGGGGGGTTTGGAGGGGGGGAGTGGGAGGGGATGGGGAGAACAAGAAGGACAGGGAGAGAAGTGATGTGATTGGATGGGATGGGATGGGATGGGATGGGATGGGATGGGATGGGATGAGATGGGTGGATGGTATGGTATGGGAGAGAGTGATCTGGCATAGACTCGCTCCCACCACTGCAGAATCCAGTAGGCAGCTCATAGAACCAAGCTCGTTCACTCATGTACCCCTTACTGGATGCTCTACTTTCCGATTTGTGCTCAAATCAGCACCCACTTATTCCCAAAACAGAATCCGAATTCACGATAATATTTGACCCCATCACTGAATCTTGGAAGTCTGAGAAACGTAATCCATAAGAAGGGTAGGACAGTCGCACATGTTCGCGCGAATTCATATCTTCCTGCACGCACAGCTCCCCATCCCCTCCTGAATGTTGCAAAAAACTGCTGTAAAAATCAGATTATTACTCGATGTAAGCAGCAACTACGCGCGATAGCAAATTCACTCTTCCTTCGTGTTCAATGAGTTATTTCATGCACCGTTGGAAAAATCACATACACTCATTTCATATACACAGCGACACGCGGGAAAAAGATTTCATCTCCTCCGCCGTGTCCAGCTTTCTCATGAATCTTCTCCTGTACTCGTTATTGCACGCACCACTAGAATGCACGATCACTAACTTCATATAAGCAGCGATCACGCGGGACAGAGATTTCGACTCCTCCTCCGTGTCCAGCTTGGTACAGGTGGCGCCGTCGCCTTCGTCCGCATCCGGCAACGCTCTGCCACGTGGATCCGCGATTTCAGCCGCGGCATGCGGGAGCGCGTGTGCATGCTCCGCCGTTCCTCCCACACCCGACGATGAACCTCCCATTTCAAAACTCCCCGCAAATCCCGCTGGACCCCCCCTCGCTGAACGGCCCCTGTCTGAACCCTCCGCTTCCGCAATACTCTCTGCGGCAGGCATGGTGGAACGGCTGTACGGCTGGACTTGTCTTAAAAAGTCACTTGGAATAAATGGCTCAAAAGCTGGATGCCTGGTTGGTAAACTCAGCTAGATACTCGCGGATCTATTAGGATTTTATCACGAAACAGATCGGGAGAAGGATGAGTGGAGGAATCAAGGAAGAAAGGTTGAGGAGCGATGGAGAAAGAACATGGTGGAGGTATCTGGGCGCTCCTGCAATTGCAGCGGTTTATAGATTCCTCGTTATCAAGCTTTTGTGATGGATTGTATTAAAAAATTTGGATCTAGGATTGGTAAAATCTCGAATGGACTTCAGCAACTTGATTGCAAGTATGGGGAAACGTATCGCCCTAAAAC